AACAGGGCATTCGGCCCAAAACATTTATATGCATCAAAATATAGTCATAAAACTGAGTTATGCAATAAACAAGTATAAACATCACTGAATATAGATTTCCAATCGAAAACAATGAGAGGATGGTAAGAAAAGGCCCCTAAGGGTCCAAACAGCATTGGCACAAGGCCCAAACATGGCATTCAACCCAATTTACAGAAACTCTTTCTAAAACATATAAGTATCATATGGTTTCAACAAAGTATGCAACTTTATAGTTGCTACGGGACGGACCAAGCCACAAATCCCCAACAGTGCACGCCCACACGCCCGTCACCTCGCATGTGCATCACTAAAATAGTAGATTGATACAAAATCTGGGGTTTTATACCCTCAGGACTAGATTTACAATCGTTACTTACCTCGAACCGGTCAAATCTCTACCCCACAATGCTCTTGCCTCTTGACTCGGCCTCCAAATGCTCTGAATCTATTCACAATCAGTACAATACCATCAATACGCGCTAATTGGATGAATTCCACAAGAAAAATTATAAAATTAGACCAAAACCCGAAATTGACTAAAACTCGGACCCCGGGCCCACGTCTCAAAATCCGACAAAATTCACAAAAATAGAAACCTCATTCACTCACGAGTCTAACCATACCAAATTCATCAAAATCCGACATCGTTTGGTTCTTCAAATCCTTAAATTACTTCTCCAAAAATTCCCAGCCCTAACCCCTCATTTTCACTAATTACAATGACTAAATAGCGGAAAATCACCATAAATACAAGTATTAGGGCTCAAGCAACTTACCTCACTGATAGCCCTTGAATCACCCTTCAAAAATCACTCCAAAAGCTCCACAAACCGACTTGAAAATGGTGGAAATGAACCAAATTCGCAAAAGGGTTCTATTTATGGTTTCTGCCTAGGTTTTTCGCAACTGCGGCCATTTTGTCGCACCCGCGCGACCGCACCCGTGGTCCAAGGAGCCGCACCTACGCAACTCACTTACGCGCCCAGACTCTGCATCTGCGGCAATCCCGTCGCACCTGCGAAGGCGCACCTGCGCGTTTCCTCCGCTTCTGCGAAGCCTGCCCAACATTTTCCTTTTCGCATCTGCGCCCCAGGTTTCGCACCTGCGGGCTCGTAGATGCGACCTCCAACTCACACCTGTGTATCATGCCTAGCCCAGCGTTGCCCGCACCTGCGCACTCCCCATGCGCACCAGCGGCCTCGCACCTGTGACTCTTCCTTCCGCAAGTGCGGAAATAGCAGAAGCAGCAGCTCCAGCTGCAAATTCCAACTTCGACAAATCCGTTAACCTCCCGGAATCACCCCGAGGCCCTCGGAACCTCAACAAAAATACCAACAAGTCATATATCAACATACCAACTTAGTCGAACTTTCGAATAACTCAAAACAATATCAAATCATCAAATTACCCTCGGATTCAAGCCTAAGAACTTCTAAATTTCCAAATTCGGCAACCGATGCCGAAACCAACCAAACCACGTCCGAATGACCTCAAATTGTTCACACACATCACAAATGACACTGCGAACCTACTCCAACTTTCGGAATTCCATTCCGACCCCGATATCAAATTTTTCACTGCCGACTGAAATCGCCAATTTTTTAATTTCGCCAATTCAAGCCTAATTCTACCACGGACCTCCAAATCACATTCTGGACACACTCCTAAGTCCAAAATTACCTAACGGAGCTAATGGAACCATCAGAATTCAAATCCGAGATCGTTTACACATAGGTCAATATCTGGTTGACTTTTCCAACTTAAGGTTCTAAATAAGAGACTAAGTGTCTCATTCCACTCTTAAATCACTCCGGGCCCGAACCAACTAACCCAGTATATCATAATATAGCTTAAGAGAATAAAGGAAACAGAAATTGGGGAAACGGGGCTATAACTCCCGAAACGACCGGCCGGGTCGTTACACTGTGGGTGCGTAATCCTGAGTCCGGGATCGCTTCTCTCTTATGATCGACATCTTAGTGCGTTTAAGCATCGGACCTTGGGGGGTATCGATCCCACCAATGATCATGTGGATGATGTGTTGTGGCTCTTCTTGTTCGTTTTGTCTACTGAAACCCCTATTTTTGAAATGGTTTTTGGCCCGGTTACTTAAAAGTTCTCGAAGGTGCCCTTTATTGAATAACCAGACTACCTCTTCTCTCAGTTGCCTGCAATCTTCTGTTCTGTGGCCATGAGTGCCATGATATTCGCACATTTGATTGGGATTCCTCTGGGCAGGATCGGTCTGCAGGGGTCGAGGCCATTTAGTATCTTTGATGCGTCCGATAGCTGATACGATGGCGGATGCATCGATGTTGAAGTTATATTCCGATAACCATGGTGCTTTCTTAGGTCCGGTATGCCTGTCGAACCCGTTCCTGTTCATCAGCCCCCAAGACCCTTGGCCTCGATCACCTCTTTTATCGCCTTGTACAGAGTTACGTCTTGGTTCGTTACCCCTATGATCTCCACTATACGGCTGGTATCGATCCCTGATCGGCCTTTGTTCTCGGTTGATGTCCCTTTTAATAATGGACCCAGAACCCAACTGGTCGTCTTCAACTCTGATCTTCGATTGATATCGATTGTGTACATCGGCCCAGGTAACAGCTGGGTACTCGATCAGGTTCTGCTTCAACCGTCGTGAAGCTATCGAGCTTCGTTCGTTCAGACCTTGAGTGAAAGCTTGAACAACCCAATCGTCTGTGACTGGTGGTAGGTCCATTCGTTCCTTTTGGACTCGAGCTCGATAATGACTTCGAGCTCGGTATTGATCGGTCCCTGAATCTTGAGCTTGGTAACCTGGCTTCGGATCTCATCCCGGTATTATGAAAACGACCATCGGTCCATCGAAGGGCAAATCGGTTTTGACCGTATACACTAATAAATCTGACCTTATTAATTTTATTGGTCAATTATTCACATTTTTATATGATATCTTTATTTCTCAATTACTCTCCTAATAAGTCTAACGTTTGATCCACCTTTTAAAAAAAAAAAAAAAAAATCGCATCTTTCATTAAATGGAAATATTGTTTTTCCTCTTCAACGGTCGAGCTAATAATAATACTGTAATACTTCACATTATTGTCTCAAACTTGATTCGACATCTTACCAATACCAGTTACCAGTAATCATTTCACTTTTGGGATCTTCTTTCATTACACTGCAATTAATTTTTATTTCAAACTATTGTTCAAGGGCTCTATTATGATTTACTTTATCTAATGGTTCAGTAAACACACTTAACGTGGGTTACAATTTTAAGTCCAACACTCTTTCTTTTATTCCCACTGGTGCTAACAATTACTACCTTCAGTCTCAAGCAAATTGGAGTGGTGCAAAAGGGAAATAAACAACAAATATATATTCTATTTAGCTTTCATCTGAATATCCAGATTCCTAAGTGATCCTCATAAAAATTTACTTGTAACTAGTATTTACACCTCCAATGAATATAAAACACGTGTCTTTCATATACATATTTATCACTCAACTATGCCAATGCGACCACGATTCTCCCCCCTTGTCCAACAAATTGCTCAATGATCTGATCTTCATGTGTTGTATCAGTGTGTGAAGATTGTGTTTATATATCTATATTTTAAGAAAGGAACATATCAACCTCGGAAAAGGAAAATTGTCGCCCAACATCCCACTCTAATGTCAATTTTTTAATTTTAAAATTCATTAATGTTTTTCTGACTCTCTGTATTTTTGCTCTAAATAAACCGGGCTCCATAAGGCAAAAAAACTAGGACATTTCCTGCAAAATGCAAATACTCGCCCTACAAAAAGGTACTCAACTACAGAAGATCATCCAAAAGAAGTTTTAAGGTTTTCCATCAATAAACAATATTAAGCTTTTTAGTTGCACTATCCTGGTCAATGTCAAGAGAAACCACCATGAAAGGTAACCAATCCATTTTTTGTTTCAAAGTATAACGAAAGAAGAATAGAAAGCACAGATGTTGATGGAGAAACAAAACTAGCAAAACAAGAGGTGCTTGCAGCTCTTCAAATTTTCGCTTCACCTTCTCTTGGTTTATGCGCAGAAACGACCCACCAGAACCTGCAAGGACACCAAATTAGACATCATTCATGACTTCATGGTAATAATGCTTACATAAAAAGCTTAGACACACTCGAGGAAATGTTTGGTGTATAACAGGTTCCCCGTGAAGGAGGGGTGTGTAGTAGGGATTTGGCTACAAGCGCGGTGGGGGGAATGTAAAACTATGCATTGAACCTACATAAAATTCATCCACAACAAGAACAAGTGGAAAAAGAATAATTGAAACTACTAGGATGGACCTTTTAATCTACATTAACCTGGAGAAGCTTGGAACCAAAACAAAGGAGAAACAAAATACAAGATTCATGTCCGAGCTAATAACTATTCTATTTAAACTTGCAGGATATAAGTGAGTCCTCCATAAATGCTTCATAATAGTACTTATTTGAGTGAAATAGAATCTGACACTTCAAATTCATAGTTGGCACTTGGCACCAACAGATATTCTGAAAAAGGAAGTGGTAATTTTGGCATCAAAGAAGTAAGTAGTAAGAACCTGGACCAGGTCCACTGCAACCAGACGACCATTAACTCGACCTCCAACAGCAACACCAGATGAACCAGCACAGAGTATAGTCAGTGGTCCTTCTTGCTGAACTTGACCATCTTCAGATATAATATATTTCCCCCCAAGCTTTATTATTGAAAATGAACCCTGCAGGATGACATGTTTAAGATAAGTATCTTAAGAGTTCAAGATCGGTAAATTCCAAATTCCAGTTTACAGAGTAAGAATGGTTAACCAACGATGAAATTTAATAAGCAGAATGAGCAACATAACAGTGCCTTATAATTGATATATATCTTTTTATACTATTTGTTATTTTCCTTCTCAAAAACAGTGCCTTCAACAAAAAATTCCAAGAGGTATGGAAGGGCACTCCTAATTTTAAATAGTTTATTTCAGAAACTTCATAATTACAGTCAAGATCCATATTATTACTAACCTTCCATTTTTAAGTGATACAGTTTGCACGAATTGTGGAGTCTAATATCTATATTTGACTCAAATAATAGAAGATAATTAAAAAGGTTAGTCTTTAGGAAAGTAGGGAAACATCACATAAGAAATATTAATATAACTAAAAGGTTAGTTTCATAGGGAAACATGACATCATATTTAAATTGAGTTGAAAATTGAAGTTCAAGCATAAAACTCGTGAAAGTCAAGCAAAATCATATCATTTATAAGTATGTCAAAGATTTTGAGGTTCAGGTTGGAGTCTAAGCAAACCATAGACAGTTTTTTTCACGTATTTGTCCCAGAAGAAACAGGTCTGCACATGACAAAGCGAGTTTAAACCTTTAATGGGCCATATAACAATTCAACACTTCCAAATTGAAAGTCTGTTACAAAAATTAGGAAGGAGGACTACTTTTGATAAAGAGGAAGGAGGACTACTATTTCGTAAATAAGCTCCATACTTAACAAACTTTCCAAGAACAGACTTGGTTGTACACCCTTTCTAATATTGAAGTTAATAGATTTCAAAAGAACAGCTTACAGATTACCACAATTATAAGTGAGAAAATGTAAAGTTATATTCGTATCTAATTACCACAACAACTGTTTAGATTATCTGTGCTAAATTAAGATGCCGAATCTTTTATGTAGTTACTAAAACGTTTACGTTATACTCTCAATAAAACAACTTAATGATCTTGGAATAGTGCTATTTAGGTTAGCCAAATTGATTCTTCATAAGGAAACATGACACTCCGACAGGGCAGAGAGAGTATTTACTACTACAAATTTTTTTATCCATATTGAGATTTTTTTTTTTTAATTATCACAATACTTTAGTATATCTAATTTATGAAGCTTAATAGTTAATACTTCCTTAGCTACGTCATCCTAACCAGTTTGCGACATATAAAATTTATTTTATTAGCTTATCCAATGCTAATTATTATGGCAGTAATGTGTTTAAACCCTTTTGACCAATCATGCATACTCGTCGAGTCTAATGAATGCTAATTATAGTATCTATAATGAGAGTGTCATAACATTTTAGTTTAAGTATCTTATGAAACTGAGTCGTTAAGACTTCCTTAGCTACGGGATCCTAACTAGTTTAAAGTATGTTGAGTTTATCTTATATTAGCTTAACGAATGCTAATTATTGCGGTGCCTAATATGTTCAGTATCTTTAGACTAACCATGCACACTCGTCGAGTGCAATGAATGGATTCCCACTTATCTCAGTGAAGAAAAAGAAATTCCCTTTTTGAGATTACCATCAACAACGTTTATTCCAATTTAACTACAAAAGGATCAAAAACCAGAAACGCCAATAAATGTCAAACACACTTCAAATCTTTGTTTAGACTTCCTTCCTGGTCCCACCAGACAAAGAAAAAGACAAGGAACAGAATAGGCACCATCTCAGTCTCCAAACCAACTCGAGAGCATATATGTGCACATGTAACTCGTTGAACGGGAAAGGCTCCATTGACACGCTTCTGTTCATTATTCTTTCTCTGCCTTATATTAAAGAAACACTAATCCATTTTAACTTTAGTGGAGCAAACTCACCACTTTAGATCCATTTCGTGACTTGCCCATAAGTCAAAAGTTCAAACACCATACAGCTCGACTACATTTGAGCTCAGCTAACATAAATAAAAGAAGCCTCGCAGGCTTGAGTTTAGCTTAGCCTTCTTAAGCTGTATTAAATCTAGATTTGCCTTCCAAATCCCAAGGAAATCATTTAAGTTAAATGCATTATTTCAATCACACCTTATTAGGCTCTAGCATTTAGAACACAAAACGTAGCTTCTAAACCTAATGAGATTCCTCTTACCAGTAAGAATTCTTACACACATAACATTAGAAATCTCCTTTGCATATCTAGAGAACACATTATGCGCACTACCTATTAAAGGAGAAAAACAGAGATTCACTATCTGCAATCCATTATAGTTCCTTGTAATGATCTGCCACGATCGTTGCTTTGGAATAAACTCTTGAGATGCAAACAGAAATAATGCAAATAAGATAATCAGGTACCTTATCTGAAGCTGATGAATTTTCTGTATCCATTATCGGGTGCAAAACTGAACCAGTAGCTGACAAGATAATGCCCGTCTGCGTGCGACCATGGGAACTTACAGAATTAGTGGTGCTGTTCCGAAAATAAGACAGAACTTTTTCTCCAACATCCTGAAAGGTAAATGGAGTTCTTTGAGTGCACTTCTATCACCCACTATGTACAGCTTGCCTACTTTTGTAAAAAATCTCATTGCTTAGTCAAAAGAAAATGGAGAACATGAAAGAAGTACATTTCCAATTTATTATCAAACAAATCTGAAGCGGTAATAAACTAATGAACATGACAACCATTGGGAAGATTAACAGAAGGTCCGCAATCTAACTGCAAACTACAAGAAGAGCCTGCTAGTTTTCACTGATTGCTACTACCCATAGAGAAGTTATAAAACAAGACATAATACATCAAACCACGTTAGTCTTTTACTACCATTCAACAGGATGGCTAAATTTAGTATGTCTAACAAATGGAGGGAGGAGAAAAACATCATGATGACCGCCACCGAGCTACGTAGCATTTTACATTGCTATTTTTTTAAAGTCATATTCTTGTCTATATATTTCGTTTACAGCCATCTGGTAGGCCACTGCAATTATCCTTTAGGCCTCTAGGCTTATAAAATAAGGTAGAAAACCCACATCCTTTGTTATTACTATAGAATATATCAGCCACATCGTTGATCCAAAATTTAAAAATTAAAGCTTATGTAACAAGTTTATTACCCTAACCACTTTCACTCTTATTTGTCAGGGAACAAAAGTGCATGTCGGGTTTTCTGCAAGCATATTTAAAACCCTAGAGATATGCTTCACGCAGTTTTTGTTCCATATGACCTGATTTTCTCGATGATATCAAGATATATGTAGCTGACCTCAACTTGTTTAGGATTGAAGCATAGTTGATTGATTCAATATACGCAACTACCTAATATAACCTACACCAACAGTACTACACATAGGTAATGTATCCAATTTTCTTTTTTTCCAGATCATAATGATCCACGTATTAGAGAACATTAAGCTAGTATGCCAAAAGAAGCATTTCCAACTGCATAAAAGATACAGCAATATATAATGGTCAAGCCAGTAATGTAATCTTCAAACACCAATGGGTGCCTTCTGTTTACGAATGAGAACTTAATCAATTCTTCTTTTAATATTATACTATTGAGAGTTGAAAATTACTTACATAAGGTACATGTAGCGACTGGAGGATAAGAAAGTCAGAATTGCAATAGTGAATGTCAAAGACACGGGTGATGTAGGGTCTTGGTAAGACTTATTAATTTCAGGTAGTACAGTAATTGCTGAAAACTTTATATTTATTTACTTCTTCTCTTTTCTTCCTTTTTTTGTAAATTCAGATGCTTAATAAGCAGTGTATCTTCCTTCCAGCGAGCTTCTGACATTATTACTCAGCACCAAGGCAGAAAATGATTTTTCAACAAATAGTGAAATATTACCTCTGGAAGAATTCTTGCCACTAATCTATCAAAACAAAAATATTCCTTCTTCTATTATTTAGCAAGTTCCCTTACGAGGTAAGAAGCTCCGAAGAGAATTAGTCTCCTAATTTTGGGTATGGTTTTGTACTAAATTTCTACAGAAAACGTCGAAAAGTGACACCTCTATCATGGCCAGAGGCAAAATAGTTAGACTTACTAATGGAAAGTCATACAATAGGTAAGCAGTCAAGATATCAGCAGTGAAATTGTGTTTCTGGGAGTAGCCCAAGGGTGTTAGAATGAAGACCACAGGAGACCAGGGTTTGAAGGCAAAGTTATACGGTACCTATATTGGTGGAAGGATGCAAGTACTCAGTGGAAATAGTTGAGGGGCAAGTACATTGGCCCGGATGCCACCGTTATTTTAGAAAAATATTGGTTTCAAGGATTGCAAGTACTTTATAGTTTAACCTGCTTGAAAATGTTGTCGGAAACACGAAGAGCCATAGATACATGCAGCTTAAGCCCAAATTTCTAGGATAGACCACGGACAAAGGATCTTTAGCTAAAAGGTTTGATCAACAGTCTGAGATTCTAGAAAGCTTCCAAAACTTTAACCGTGCTATGAACAATGTTTTGTGTTTTGGTTAGGAAATAGAGGTTTTATAAACAGAATGAGAACTTTCTGGAAGGTTTGGCTCTATGTTTTTAGGTTTTGGCGGTGACAAGAAACCATCAGCAGCAAAGAATGATTTGAGCGAATGAAAATAAAAAGTCACCTTCTTAGAAGATAATGAGCATAAAACTTATGGCCTTAGTCTCCATCCATTGTCCATTTACAGTTATTAAAATTCAGCTCCTTGGTTCAATTTACCATGCTAAAATTCAAAGTCTCCATCCACAAAGCAATGCCATATTGTCATTATGAAGATGATGAAGCAAACTAAATCAAGGAGACATAAGCACACTTGGTGGAATCGGAAACGCATTACATGAAAAGGACAACCAGATAATTATGGATTGCACCAGAACAAAAGCATACTAGATGACAAGGTAAGAAATATACTTTTCTTTCACAAATAGAAAAGGTAAGAAATACACCGATGTTAGAGAAGAAAATAGCACACAGAACAAGAAAGTTTTTCATGTCCAAAAGAATATGAACACTGGAGAAGTACAAAAATGAAACCTCTCCTGAATTGATAATCAAGGAATCCGCAAGTAACCCTTCATGCTTTGGTTCTGCAAGAATAAATGTAATAAGAGTGTTTAGTTTCAGAATTTATATATGGAGTATTACATGAATGTTCTGTTACATGCACAACATAAATATTCAACTGACAGAAGCATTGAATACGACATACGTGTCGAGGAGCATCAATGTAAAATATGCAAACAGTTCTAGAAAAAGCGTATATCTATAGAACCATATGATCTGGGCAGCACAATAGCATTAGTCCCCCACCAAAATTAACAGCATTAGATCGCAAAGCAAATGGGTATTATAAGTTAGAGAGCTTTGAGACACATAACACGCAGTCCTCTTTATTCTTTTTGCACACACACATTCAACCTGACCTCATGAAAAATACTTTGAGCAATAGAAATTTTAAAAGAGCATAGGTTGTGCAACTAATAACAATAGAATTTGTACATTCAACTTGCTTTCCAACTTTTTTTTTCTTTTTTTTTTCACCAGGGGGATGGTGTCCAGATTTTCTTCCTTTTTCCTTTTTGGTTGATAAAGGAGATGGGAGAAAGATATAAAACCCCACTCCTTTTCCTTTTGAGTGGGAGAGGGTGAAAAAGAAAGAAAGAAAGAAAGACACCATTTTCCATATTCCTTTTCTTTCCTTAATAGAGGTTCGGCAAAATCTAGAGGTTTTGAAGACACGGGACATATGTGAAACAAAACTGGAAAAAAAATCAACAATTATACAACCAAACAAAAATTGGATAGCCAGTACCATCAGCGCGGGCTTTCATCTTTCTGGGTCGTCGAGGTCTAGCCGAACTGCCAGAAAGTGAAGGTGCCTCGAGGGCAAGCACACATGTCTGATCCATCCCCTTTTCAATAGGATTCTTGCCCTTGTTCTCTCCCATTTTAGTGTTTTTTTTTCACCACTCAAGAGTTGAAACTGTTGTTCTATGTTGAATCTTCTGTTTTGAGATGACACAACCAAGGTGAAAATATTTGCAGGCTTTAGGGGATTTCTAACCAAGCCAGTTACTAAGTTATCAATAAAGCAATCCAGTTACTAGATTACAGACTGAAAAAGTAATAAATGCAGCCTATTTGTTTTCCATCTATTGGTTCTCCTAAGTAAGCACGGAATTGAAATAAGCCCCAGATTGGAAAATCCTTGACTATTTTCTTTTTACAAATATAATCCTACTCATAGGCATTAATAAAGCGCAATCCAAACTTTAGTATTCAATTGATCAGGCTTGATCAATATAGTGGTACCCAAAGCAAGGTAGACTTCCTTCCCCCTCTATCCCCAACCCACTACCGAAACAAAATAAAACAAGAAAGACGCATCTAATCAAAGACTATAGTCATTCATGAGATGGTTTATACCTACATTGTTGACACATTAAGGGCGCCTCAAAAGGCAGGCATTCATCAAGTGCCAACAATTCTAATACACGAGACATTACGCGACAATGAGAATAGAACTTAATTCCCAGATACAGTCAAATTTTGAACAAGCTAAAGCTATGCAGTTAACACGTGCTGAAGCAATGCAAGAGATTACCAAAATCCAAAAGTAGTAATGTAATCAAGTCTACAATTACTTTAACAAGAACACCTATCAAAATATATAATAAATAAATAACCATACTAGTTTAAACATAAGTGGGAACCAGTTAAATACCTTTCCATATTTTCCCTGATTCTAGAAATTCACCTTGATATTCATAAGCATCTCAATAAACTGAACTAGAACCCCAAATTACCTTTTCTGCATTCTGCCAAACAAAGAAAAGGAAAAAAAAAGAGGCCATTAAAAAAGCTTTTTAATTTANAATAAAAAGGGGCCAACAAAAAAGCTTATTAACTTCCCTGAAGAACCACTAATTTCTGTCAAATATTAAAATAAAAATACCTGAGGAATTACGGTTTTCCTATTTCGAATGTTCTACACATAATGGGAATAAGTAAAACACTGACGAAAGGCCTCGTTTATCATATGCTTTGTCAATAAAAGGAAGTTCTTGTTTAATCCTCCAATCAAAATAGAATTCAGAGGGCGAGTGAGATTCACTGATTCTGAAGGGAAAAAGTGGCATATTGATTTAATTGACGAAATTGCCCTCAGTTTCAGGAACATTTCAAGGGTATTATAGTAAAACCATAACCCGGGTATAATAACGGAGCCCCGTTACAAACGAGCTCTGTAATCCGTTTCGGTCAATCGAAGAAAGTGAAGGAGGAGAAATGGCGTCGAATGCAGCGGCACCCTTTTGGAGAGCGGCGGGGATGACTTACATAACATACTCGAATCTGTGTGCCAACCTGGTCAGGAACTGCCTTAAGGAACCCTACAAGACCGAAGCCTTGACTCGGGAAAAGGTCCACTACTCCATCTCCAAATGGGTCGATGGCAAGCCTCAGAAACCCAGTAAAAAAT